CCCCATATAGTAAATATCGCATTTATTTTATAATCACGTGTGCGCCAGCTGAATGTGGCATCTAGGGGCAGTTTTTCAGAACAACTACTATATAAATTCCGAAACGCGTTCGGAAATTATGTAAAGCTTTGATAATAATCAAATCTGTGTTTGAAATTTCACCACCTTCAGATTACTGAGTACGAAAATTTGCCGGCAAGCAGAAACGTACATACCTGGATTTCTCATCAATTCCTTTCTTGCTCCATGTTTCTCTGGTAATATTTTTTCGGTTAGTTGCCTTTTCTAACACTTAAAGATGTGTATTTTGGCTTGGATTAATTTCAACTCATCAGACGAACAAAACTTGTATATTACATAATACTGTTTCATTTTCTCTTCTGAAATATCGTTTTTGCAAGGTATTTTTTCTGACTTGAAATGGTTTTGTCAGTGTTGAATTAGTAATTCTGGCCAATGTTTGACCAAGTAAATGAATTTGATTTTTTATGAAAATTGTTCTCGTTCCGGTTTACTGTCGCAATATTGTTTCCGAGTTATATTATCCATGGCTTTACTTTATTGTGTACATATGTCGTGTTTGTGTTGACTGTGTAATTATGGTTAACTTTTCACCAGACATACTAGTTAGATAAAACTTCTATTTAAAAAAAAAACACTATTATTCTTGTTCCATTTCCCCCTGCAAATATTGACTGTTATTTCTGGGGATTAACTTACTTTTACTGGTCCTGTTAGTGTTGACCCTAGTTTTAGTTAACTTGTCATCAGTCAAACTAGTTGGATTGTTCATAAAACATATTCTTGTTCATTTGTCATTCAAAAATAGCATTTTAGATAGACATTTCTGGGGCTTGGGTTGTTATGCACTGGACCTGCTAGTGTTACTTTTTACCAGACATTATTAGATGGATAAAACTGTTCATAAAAATTATTCTTGTTCCATTTTCCTCTGGAAATATTGTCTTTGACGGCAATATCTGGGACTTGAATTTATTGTGTACAAGTCTTGTGTGTGCAATTCTGGTTAACTTTTGTTCAACCTGGTTTGTAGCCATCAAGTTTTATTTTAATTAACAGCTTTTTGTTTGGAATTAAATTCACCAGTGAACTATCTTTACAAGCAAAAAACAACGCATATAAAGCATCCATTCAATCAATGTGCTGCTTGTGTGTTCTTTCTGCATTTGCATGTTTGTTCAGTTTTTCTCTCCATTCCAAGATATGCAATATTATAACATTACTTTATTACCCGTTGAGTCTGAAAAGATGTTGCTTGTGGTGATGCATATTTCAGTGACCACACCATAATTAATCAGCCTGGCTCAAACCGCAATACAATAAATATGGGAAACACTCAGTTACAGTCACATGTACAATACGAGAAATGGAGGACGCAACGATTGTGATTATGACGTGACTTTTTCCGAACCATCCTGACAATGTGCTGCTACATTGTTTGTACTTAAAGGGCGGTGGTCGTCGCGTCGCGTCCTGTTTGATATGGGACTAATAATGACGTATAGAACGCTTGTAAAATGTACGGTCACGGCCCTTTAAGTCAAGTTGAAAGTCAAATTCTAGAACTCTGGTTGACCTTGTGTAAAAGTGCATACAAACATATTTAAGCATTATAATATTCATAATTTAATAATTTAATAATAATTCTTCAAATCATTTTTTTTAAAGTTCTACTTTGTAAAATAAAACACTTCATTACGTTTCTTAACGAGGTGAACACCAGTTTGTAGATTTTAGTTACCATCTGAAAATATAAAATAAATAATTGCAATATGGATTTTAAACGCATGAGATTGTTTTCCCATCATCTGAATAAATAATATGAATATGAATAACAAAAGAAAGATCTACTCACCATAACAATATACATGTTACTGGGCCTCATGTAGTTTGGACTTGCAAGTGAAAGCGTGTTCGTCGTTGCAGTTTTCATCAACCCATTCGCCACCTAGTTAAACAATACAAATAATAGTAAACCATTCCCTTCTGGCAGGATGGCTTTATTTTAAATCGGTCACTTTGCGAAGAGAGACGAAAAAATACTGAATGACCATGGCGACCATCAAGACCGAGACAATAATGATATAAACGCTGATTTGTATGCTGATATTTCATAATCGGCAGTCCTAAACATCCAAACCAACATCACTGTTTTAGACCAAAAGGAATTGATATGAATGAGCAACTTTAGTCTAATTTATTTCCCAACGTCTCAATAACCCCGTTCATTGGAAGTCCCTCTACCGGCGTACAACAATAATGTAGTGTAAACATGTTTTGCTTGTTTGTAATAAACGTACATTCGTCATACTAGTTCACACTACAAATAACATTCATTCTCACGTGGGTATACATTTTGGTGTCGTGATAGAAACAAATTTCAGTATTTCGGTCAATTAGAGATAAAAAAAAATACTTCTGTGAATTCTGTTTTAATGGCACAAGTTCTATTATTTACCCGAGCCAGGTAACGGAATTAGTAGTTCATTGGATTGCATAGCGCAACTGACGTCCCCGTCAATCAAACCAGATTCACCATCTGGTTGTCCAGACTCCCAGTTAGTGTATTCAACTGCCGTGCTATCAGACCATGTCCATATCCCCTCCTGCTCAGGTCAAATGTATTATTATGAATTAAATACGTCGTATATTGACATGCACACAATATTGTACATAAGATGGTATTTTTTAGTATTTAATGTGGTATTTGCATTCTACTTTATCTGGAAATGAGAATTCCAAATTTGGAGAAAACCATGTTGTATATTCATAATAAGTAAAACAACAGATACTGATCAGTCATTGTAATAGACCATTTTCCGAACAATTGCGAGATCTCGCGAGATGCATGAAAGACGCGCGTCGAACGTCTGCCGCAAAAATCGATTTGATTTTGAACTAGAATTTCTTTATTTCGCAGCTTACATTGACCGGCCGATCTTCGACAGAGGAATATTGCTTCCGAATACCCTTACTTAATCGAAATTGCCTATCATCAAATGTGAACAGCACATTATTAAGCATGGAAATGTCCCCGAAATACTTTCGCGTTTGTCGAATCCCACGCGATGTTTGACGCGACTACGACGCTATGACCTTTGTTTGTCCTGTTTTTACGTTCGATTTCACGCATAACGCGTGATTCTCGCAGTGTACTGAAAATGGTCTATTTCATAAAACTCAAAAAGCTAGGTTTTACATTTATTAATACAACCTGGAAATACGTACAGTATTGAGACAACAATGAATATTTTGCCAGAATTGCAAAGACCCAATCTCTTTTGTATGGCTAGACCTAAATTATAATAAATTATAATTGCACGTGTCTGAGACTCATAGGGAAACTAGTTAATATCTCCATCTCAATTTGAAAAAAAATGTTGGGGTGGTGAGGTATTTATTTTAGGGTTGTGTGATGAATTTGTTTGCGCGTATCTGTTGTTCGACTTATTTAGTTGATAACTTGTGAATGACGGTGTTATGTCTGTCATCGTTTAGGCGAGGTCCTGGACGGAACTCGACTCAGTGATTTGGAACTAATTAGGATATAACCGTCGCTATCCGGACTACTATTTCTGGCAGTTGGTATTCGCAGTTATTAATGTAGTGAACGATTAATCAAAAGATAGGACGTGTTCAGTACTTAGTGTGATTGGCTGTGTGCTGGCCGAATGTGTGAAATGTGTGAATGTGAATGTGTGTGCCTTAGAGTCTTTTAACTGCTTTGTAATTGGTTAAGGTTTTGAAAGTGAATAAAGTTGTTTTAGTTGGTCTTGGCGAGAACACCACGAGAGACGCAGTCTTGGGGCAGTCTTGGGCCAGCCTTGCGATAGTCTTGGGGACTTTTCCCCAGGGCGCTGAGTCTTATAGAGTACTCGACTGACCGACTAAAGACGAGAGTTGAAACGTATTTCGTTGTGTGTGCCTTATTTGACTGTAAAGTTTAAGTGACGTTCCCGATCCCGTACCTCAAGCAGACGAGATATAGAGACCAGACGAGATTCCCCCCTGGCACGTTGGAGAACCCAGAGGAGAAGAATCCCCCCTGATAGTTGTATTAGTAAAGTAAAAATAAAAAAAACTAATTTTATGAACTTAAGCCATACAACCTGGGCATACTCTTAGTTAGAGGATATAAACGACAAGCAAGGGTATTTGTACGAGACCTCCTAGCATATTTGGCGGGAAATTATAATTGAGCGTAAGAATTAATGTTCACAATTTCAAAAAAGTATACTTTTTGTACTGAATATGTATACAACTAATTTACTATTGTAGTAAAATTTAATTTCAAAGTATAATGGTTAGATGACATGCCAGCTACAGTAAAAACCTCCCCAGATGAGACAACATCCCATTGTGCGGTCAGAATATGGGGTCTGCCTGAGTTCTTTGTCTCCACTTCCTCTAACTATGATCTCCGTCATATTTTAAGAAATATTTACATGGCAGAGAATTATGTCAGGCAAATAACCTACAACCAGGTAAAAGGAGATGACCAAGAGGATAAAATTCAGTTGAGTTGGCACTCCAACCCGGCGTTATTAAAAATGGTCGAGCGGTGTGAGCTCTCCAACACTTGTCAGGTCTCTACTCGAAGAAATTCTGAATCCGGGTCGTCGTGTGGTTGTTAAAAAAACAATAGCTACAACTAGTAAATTTAACCGCCGAGTGATGTTGCCGTGTAGGCTGGTGATATTAGATATCCTACCAATAGAAATCGCATGCTTTTTCAGGCTGATTACTCTGTCGACAAGATATTGAGAAACCAGGTGGTATTAAACCAACATTCTGATGTTCCAGGTCACTGGCATATATACGAAGTCCTACCAATGTAATTGACAGTCGTTGGGCTTCAGCTAAGAAATTTGACAGTGACAATACTGTGGCATTTGTTGCCAATACTGTAAAATATCCGATCCGTTAAAGCTTAGATGATAGTATTTCATCTATTTCGTAACACAAACTGTATTAATTGACAGCTACTCGTTAGGTGTCTGGTGATCATAACATTCAATCCCGTGTATATTTCAGTCATTACAAAATGTCAAATTACGACAGATTATAACAAAATTATACAGTTTATATATATTATAATAGTGGGTAACCATGGCAATTTATGTCACACTAAAATATTTTTAAATTTTAAGTAACAAAACCATACTGTACCCAGCCTTTGTCATTGTAACCGATCCACAAATCAAAAAGACTTGCGCACACTTCGTTGATTTTATCATTTTCTTGTCTGCTATGAATGGATGCCAAGTAGCCATTGTAATTCTTGCAAATCGTATCAGCGTCCTCCCACGTTTTTGGCTCTAGAAAGCAGTAGTAGCAATGATCCTGCCATTCGGTCCATCCCCTCGGACATTCTGTCAAAAGTGCTTAACAGGACAAGAACAAACTCTAATATTACATTATTACACTGTGTTTTATTATAATTATACTATATTTTGTTATTACACTATGTTTTGTTATTACACTATGTGTTGTTATTACACTATGTACTGTCACCTAGCTAATTAGTAGTTATGTATATGTGTATTCGTTGTGTACTATGTATTAGTATGTATTATGTACTATGAGGATACCGCAAAGTATGCACGAAGACAGAACAACGGAAGTATCGATCGCGCAGTGGAGGTCGATGCGACCGCGCACTGTCTGAGTGAATTCTTTGCAGTAACCTCGCAATAACTTTATTATTATACATTTTTTCTTCCCAAGGATACATCATGGGAATGCCGAAATGCAAAACGTTTAGAACAGATTTAGCGAACTCTTTGTGTGGGGTCCGGTTAAGCACTGGGGCAGCCATGTCTGTTTTTATTATTAGAGGACGCTTACGCGCGTAATCGTTCCATATTTGGAATTCGCATTTCCTTATATGGTAGGATAAAACTACCCCGTAAAATACCGTAAAATTGCGACACGCTGTAACTTATGGCGTTACGGTGACAGATGTATAATAATAGTATGTATTATGTACTGGTATGTATGTGTCAGTATGTAATATGTAGTAGCAGTATTAGTATCAGTGTGTAATATTATAAACGGAGAAGAATTAGTGTACATTGAAGACAAACACCTTTGAACTACTTTAATACGAATGCACGTATTTGATCACCGACGTTAGTTTATGCGTTTTAAAAAGATACGGGAGCAGATAACAGTATATAAGAATCGAGATCTCGCAATACCAAATTTATTTAATCGAGAGTAATTATTTTGACCGGAGCTTTTGGACAAATGAAAATTACTACTATTATACTATTAGTATAGATTCATCGTGAAAAACACGGTGCAGCCAAAATATTTGTGTGATATTATTGTTATTAGGTATTAGTATACATTGCCTGGGTTCTTACATGACTGAGATACAAGTACGTTGAATAATTGTTTTTAGACGTACATGGCCGACGAGATCTCGTTGTGAGCGAGATTTGTTTTGCTCATCAAATAGTGTTCATTTCTCGTCGTCATCACGTTATATGTTTCCCGAAGTTCATTGCGACTGACTAACTAACATTTCACAATGTAAATCCACGTTCATATCTCACCAATATATTTAACTTACCGGTAGTAGAAGCACTCGTTACGGTTAGGACCACAATAACAATACCAAATAAACCCATATTGCCGCTGCAAGTCACAGTAGTTATAGATTTCTGTGTATTAAACACCACAACCACGTAGTAAGTCATGCTTGTTTCACATTATACTTTACTGATAGCGTAGTAAGTACTACTATGTGCAACATTGGTATAACGATGAGTAAGTAATAGGTACTTCTTGTACAGGCTTGATCAGTTTTGAAAAAAAACGTCTCTACAGTAACAACATTTTATATAAAGATTATATAAAGTAAATTACATAAAGTATTCATGAAAAGGAAATGCCACGCCTTTGTCAAATTAAAAAAGCAAATACCAAGCGAAAGAAAAACTGAACTTGAATAATTCCACCGTCTGACGTTCCTAATTAAGCCATATAGGGCCATGCTATGTTATTTAAAAAAGATTCCAATACATTTTTCCTTTTGTTCTCCTTCAGCTTCCATGCACCCAAATTATTCACATACATTCCCTAATGTGAAATTGCTACGGTATGTAGGAATTTAGTATCATTGTAGATGGATGTCCCCTTTTCTTTCACATAAATTATATCAGATAATTATACCAAACGTAACTTATGAAAATAACACCTACTACAAAACGGGGGATTCATTTAGTCTGAATGACCACATTGACGATCATATACATAAACGTTTTTCGGAAAGCCATATTAAACGTGCTCACCTTACGAATTCAAGTTTTCCAATACATATAGGTGAGAGGTAAAAACCAAAGTACTGTGGGTAATTATGCACATGTTAATCAATATGTATCCACTGTGTCAAGTTGAAGGACCACTGGGTTGTGTTGATTTAATGATACAACAGCTGCGAAGTTCTCTTACGTTTGGGGGTAGATGCGAGTACAATGATTTGAATGCCGATATCATTGAGGGGACTAAAAGGGCACAACCTCAATGACTAAGAAAGACACTTTGATCAATTGATGACTTGCGGAGTTCAGGGTCACGTGGTATTTTCGTCCGAGTAAGTCATACAATCAGCTGTCTCGTTCGCAGACAGTCGTATTAGTCGTACTAAATTGTATTTGTATGTAACACCAATGCATGGTAGCAATGTTTTGATTGAAACATCGAAAGTTGCCTTTATTTCACTTATGTTTGTGTATGTATGATACGGTGATCATGCGCATGCGCACTATGTGTGCAACTGCAATTATTTTGCTGACGTAATCGGACAGAATAATGTCACGAACCTCCAAATTGACTTTGACATTATGACAATTACTAAATGTTGTACCGGTCACTGGTAGCATGGTGGTTGTCGCTCCAGACTAATGATCGGTAGACCCATGTTCAAATCCTACCTTAGGCTGAACATCAAAGGGTCAACCCCTACCCTGGGTGAGTGTGCCACAGACTCAATGGGAAGGCCAATTCCACTGGCCGAGATTCATTCACTAACGAATGCGACTTTGGGGGAACCTTTGTTAAGGTCCGCAGGTGCTTGTGTTCGACCGAGCCTGGTTGACGCCAGGATAGCGCATTAAAATTGCCATTTGACAGAGAGATGGCCACACAGCCCTGTCATGTAGTCCCAAACATGAATATGACTTCTGTGGCAAAATGCACTATGTGTCAGCACTAGCACTTGCAATTTGCACATACAAAAAAAAATAAAAAGTCAGGAGAGACAACAGTGACAATCTGTCGCCTGGCACAAACATATTTAAAAAAAAAAAAAAAAAAAAAAAAGTTGTACCTGACATCAGGGCTGGTGAACATTGTTGCAGTCCTCCTTCCCAGATTAGAAAACACCCAAAAACAAATATTTTCCACATCCACTTTAAAAATCACATCCAGAACTTACAGCCACTGGTGGCGTTGTAAAGTTTCTAAATCTTAAATTTCTAAAGGACTTGAAGGGGAAGTCAAGCCAAACAACAAAAAGCTCTACAAGTGTAAGAGAATGCAATTTACAGTTTTTTATATCACTTTTCATTCTCTGGATATTTAACTTTTAATCAGTATTATGTAGTCTGCCTTCTTGTTTCTCCAGCAAAGGATTTTGGGTAAAGTGCGACACCATATCCACTGTTGTAAATTCTGTCAAATTTTCGTTGTGTATGTATCGAATTGTATTAATGGAAATTAGAATGTTACAAATACACAACACGTAAAGATATTGCCAAAAACGTAAAATAAATTAACATCGTTATTTTGATTGTTAAAAATAGAATGACACTTTTTTGCTCCCTTTTTGTAGTCAGGTTATTTTAACCTGTATAACCTACTCGCATCGATACATTGTATACAATATACGACAAATTGAGCTTTAGGTAGAAAAACACAAAAAATGAATATTTTTAGTTCTGTTGCCATGGCAACTATTTTATATGCATTTTCGACACTGGTACATTATATTCTACCATACTCTAAATGTTCAGCTAATTTGACGTTCAACTTTCGAAGTTATAGATAAAATCATTTTCTCAATTTCTCAGTGGATATGATGTCATACTTTACCCATAATCCTTTGCTGAAGAGTCAAGATGATGGACTGCATAAACTGATGAAAAGTTGAATATCTAGAGAATGAATGCCCTCGACGAGATATCGGCGGCCATTTTAGTCTAGAGTTTATTCAGACGTTCGATAAAAAATGTACATTGGGAAGAATCACAGTTTGTTGTTTTTATTTGTTGTGACTTTCGACTCCATAACCATAATGTAATGACCATGTTTGCTTATTGTTTTGTCCAATTTCAATTTTTACAGACAAAAGAATTATATTTCCAAAATGACACAAAATAACCAATATCAAACATTGAAAGTGCTGCCAAGTGAAGTAGTTTTTAAATTGCCAACAAACAAGTAATTTGACTAATTAAAAATTGTGTGCAATTGTGTCTGATTATTGCTTTGAGTGGTCAACGTTCTATTCTAAATTCTATAGAAAATCATCTTGAGTGAAATACATGTATTTCCTTTTTTTTATTGATGACTGGTTTTTTCTCACAGTATGTTTCACTCATGGTGCACATGGTGAAGAATTGGTTCGATTTTTATTTGGCAACGATTCACATCTCGACGGCTGTGCACTCAGTTGACGATAGTAGACAGAATTTTAAAGGGTTGTATCGTCGGTGTTCCTATGTAAAACTTTATTTGTATGTATGTATGTATGTATGTATGTACCACCAGTAAATGATATTTTATATAGAAATGACACGATAATAACATAACTAACTGCACCTCAATCAGTGGCGGCGGCACCGGGGGCAGAGGGGCCGGTCGCCCACCCGAAAATATGTTGGGCGCGTCACCGCCAAATCAAGCTGAAACCCTTTGTGTCAGCAAAATTGTCCCCTCATAATGCAGGAAATAGCGTTTCAGAGAGTCTAGATTTCAGATGTCGCCCTCTTATGTAAAATTTCGTGTCGTCGGCTCTGTCAATAGCCTGAGACAACCTCAGGCAACCATACCGGGATGTTGAACCAGCAAAGGTAGCCCATTGTTATGTAACGTACAGTGAATCAAGGCGGCAATTCACATTCCGGTGACAGCTCCCACGTGGCGCCTACAGTTAATCACTATGCTAGTTCAGCATAAAACATACGTAGCTACAGACTGTACAAAAGCGGCACTACAAATTTTCAAGGAAGTTAGTTATTGTCTAACATATTACAAAATCGTGGCTGCAATAATCTGACGAAGAGGACATTCTGCCCTATTTCTACTTTGTTATCATGAAAAGAACGAGAATCAATAAAATTGTATAATTATTAAAGAAAGGGAAAAACTATAAGCAAAACGATTAGTACAAAATATGGTTTTGAATACGGTACATAATTTGCCCTGGTTTTGTTTCCATGGCAACAACCAAATCGCTTGAAATATTTTTTTTTACTTCCTGATCAAACACAAATGGTAACAAATAACGTATTGCGGAAGCAATAGGCTTTGTGTCTGGAACGCAAGCGATAGTGCGCCATCAACGGAGCTGATGTGCGTAATGTGATGTCACTTCTTGTTGCGCGAGGTGTGACGTCACTCCATCTTCAAGGCGTCACAACAGAAATGTAAGTGGTCTTTCTTAGTGTGGTAAATTGTGGAAATAATATTCATTTTATATTGATCTCCGCTT